GGGCTTCGACGGCACGCGGTATATGCCGCCGCGCAAAAATGACGAGTGCGTCTTAAGTGGGGGCGTGACAAACATTCTTGCATTTAAAAAACATGATGCCCTACCTCGGCCGTTTCAGCCGTCGAGAACAAGGCCAACTTTGCTCCGGGCTTCGAGGGCGCATTCATAATTGGGAACGGCCTCGGCCAGATACCGTCGCCCGTTGCGCGGTTGTTTTCGATCGACATGGCTCTCATGCGTCGCTCAGGTTACCCCAGTAAGATCGCCCATCGCGCGTGGCGCCAGATATACCCCGAGGGTACGAGAATGGATTCAGTGGCGCTCTGTCTCGACCTGGCCCAGCGCACCCGCTGTCATCTCATTCCCTCTGCCGCAGCCATATCGCATCAACTAAAACGTGCCAGTGACCTCTTCCGCGACCGCTCGCAGCTACCACCCTGCTCAATTGGAGCGCAGAAAATGGGGCGCCCGGGCGGGGCGGCGGCAAGGGCGGTGGTGCCCCGAACGCCGGTGGAGGTCAGTGGCACGGAAAAAAAGCAACAGTGGTGGTGAAGGCTGCATCTGCACTGGTGGCGGCAAAGGATACAGCAACGGTCTCAGCTCAATGCTAAGACAGCGGGGTGGAATGATTGACGGGATGAGAGCTTTTGGCGAGATGGGTCGGGTCAGCCAAATTATTGCTCAGGCCGCCGGCGGAGGTGCTGACAATCTAACTCAGACGTCACCGCCAACTGCGCAGCCCTCTCCGCCTCAGCTTCAGCACCAGCAGATTCCACGGGTGGTCTCGGACAGCCAGCCCGCTCGCGACCTAGCGCTGGCCCTCGCGGGCGTCATGGGCAGCGCGCTGGGATCCGACGGAAAGCTGCGGGCAACCATTAAGCGCCTCCACGAAGCGGCAGGTCTGGACTCAGGCAATAGTGAACGTTTGGAGGACAATCCAGTGACAGAGAGAAGGTGAAGGCTGATCTCGTGGAGATGCAAGGCCATATCAAGAACCACAGCGAGCAGCTCGTCAGCATTCAGCAGTCGACATCCACTACTTATGATGATGTGCGGGCGCTCCGCAACTTGCTCGAGGGTAACCGTGGTGGCTTACAATTTCAATAGCTCTAACCCCAAAGGCTCTGGCAAAGGACACGGCCGCCTCCCCCAGGCGCAGCCTGTGCCTAGTGCACATGAGAACGGGCCCATCATAATCAACATGATGAATACGGAGACACACGAGGCCGCCCTCGCATGTATCGGCATATCTAAAGATCGGGCTGATGTATTGAGTTGGGCTCAGACCATCCCCGATGGGGGAATTCCATACTTGGCCTGGTGGATGGAGATCGGCAAGAAGAGAAGTCCCGGCCAATGGCGCCGAAAACGCAAGCCGATTGGCGCTACCAACGAGCAGGCTGACGGCAAAGATTTCAACGGCATGGGCACGCTACTGTTTCAGTTTCTTGGCAAAGATGGGGAGTGGGCAGAGAGTGCGTTTCAAGCGGCCCCTCCCGCAGCATGAGCTTCCCATCCACACAATCTAGAAACAGCTGAATCAGTTGACCAGGTTCGCGCTGTACTTTTGTTCGGTATTAGAAAGTCGCTGACCGCATCGCACCATGAGTTCGAAAGCTGCGCACACTCATGCTTTACCTATGGATTCCCCTCCTCCCTTTCCTGTCTGTCTGTCTTTGTCTACTCTCTCTGTGCCCTTCTTTGCCTATAATGTGCAATCCAGGCCGGAATTCGTGTTCTCAATCTACGCGTATCGGTTTCCACTATCTGTGAAGGAGTTGGTCAAGCCGTTTGATTTGCAGGACCGTCCTTCTTAGGAGATTGGCTTGAGACTAGACTTCTCGGTCCTATGCTTCCTTCATTATTTCCCAGTGGTGAAGCTACTGACGATGGTAATTCTGTCTCTACAAAGCCAGAGGAGTGGCCTTGCAGTGGTTGCAAGCATAACCTGATGACCAGGACTGCTAAGTCTCGGTCGCATATTTCTGACACGCGTGACGAAGCTAGCAACAGTATCCATGTTTACTCACCTGGCATCGATTGCCGTTCACTGGCTGTCTTAATTTCGGGCCCCTTAGGGAGACCAGGAGCGACACAATTATTTGATGAGTTAGACTCCCCCTTCTGACTCTGAAATTTGCGCTTGCCCGCCCATCTTTCTGTTTAGGGAGGCTGTGTGTGTGTGTGTGCGCGTGCCTGCTCTCATCCCCAGTTGTATTCTTTGAAATATTGCACCCAGGGGCGAGAGGCTGAGCATCTGGGCGCCAACGCCAGCGCCAACACCAGCACCGCCACTAGCTAGCTTCGTTTGTGTGTCATCATTGTTTGCATCATCGCATTATGGCCCAGGACCGTTACGCAAGGCGGGAGTGCGTCTCGCAGGAGCCGCTTAACAGGCGCACCCAGGGCTCTCCTTGATACCAATATCGAAGAATGCAGATACTGTACTAGCTTGTCGGCTACCCGCTGTTGATGTCTTGGGCTTGATCTTGAAAAGGGCTTGTTCTGGAATCGGCTAAGATTGGTCTTGGGTTTGGGTTAATGTTCTCATCACGGTGTGTGTGTGTGTGTGTGCGTGCGTGCGTGCGTGCGTGCGTGCGTGCGTGCGTGCGTGCATGTATGTATGTATGTATGTATGTATGTATGTATGTGTGTATGTAAGTATGTAAGTATGTAAGTATGTATGTATGTATGTATGTAAGTATGTATGTATGTATGTATGTATGTATGTATGTATGTATGTATGTGTGCGTGTGTGTTGCGGTTCCGCCTCCTCCAGCCGGCTCTCCCCGACGCTCCTTGACGCACTCCCTCGGCGGTCCACACTTTCTTACTCGCACCCCCCGCCTTCCAGTCCCAGTTGGTTTATGTCACCTTTCATCCTCACCAGAACTTCGTCTACTCATCACCTCTTGCTGGCATCCAAACCCACATGGTTGTGGCTGCTGCCGGCTGCGAGACCCTAAACGGTCTCTAAGAGCTCGGCCAAAAGTAGACGTGCGCGCTCCACTGCCTACACCCGACTTTCTACCCCGCGTCGTCGCGCGGAAGGGCGCGACGCCAAAAACTGTGTATGTGTGTATGTGTGTGTGTGGCTGTGACTTCTCCGCCCTGTCACCGCGCGCAGGGCTGCGACGTCAAAAAGTGTTGTTGTGTGTATGTGTGTAAATGTGTGTGTGTGTGTGTGACTTCTCCGCCCTGTTACCGCGCGCAGGGCTGCGACGACCAAGCAAATATGTGTGTGCGTGCCTGCATACAGCGTGCCCCCTGTTGCCCATCCGCCGGAGCAGCCACAATCTGCCCAGCCGCCGACGCAAAAGTGTGTCAGTGTGTGTGTGTGTGTCGTGTGTCGTGTGTGTGAGTGTGTGTGTGTGAGTGTGTGTGTGTGTGTCGTGTGTGTGTGTGTCGTGTGTGTGCGTATGTGTGTGTGTGTGTGCGTCGTGTGTGTGTGTGCGCAGAGGTCGTGCGCCCGAGGCGGCCCCGAGCGCGGTGGCGGGCGGGGCGGCAGGCGAATTCACAGGGAGCTGTTCGGTCAACAGCGAGGGCGGACACCCACGCGTTCAGCAAACAGGCGGGCCGCGCCGGCCCGAGGGACGAAGGCAACTTATAGGGGAGGAGGAGGGCGGCCGCGGAGCAGGAACGCGGGAGGAGGCCTCGAGCGCAGAGAATCTTCGCCACCACGCGCGCGCAGGCGCAAAACGCGCTTCCGCGAAAGCGGCCTCGGGCCCAAACCTGGCGGGCGCAAGCCTGGAGAATGACGGCCGCGGCGCCCTCTCGAGAACCGAAGACGGACAAGTCACCCATCGACGCGTCAGGGCGGGGGTGCTGTCCGCCCCCGACCGTCCACTGGCGGCTGTGCGACCCGTCCGGGCTGCCGAAGGGAAGGCGGTGCGCCGCTCAGCCCACACGGGGCAGACACCGGCAGGCGTGAGGCGCCGAGGGGGGGGGGGGGGGGGCAGGCCCGCAGAGCCCGCCCGCCACGAGGGCCCCACGGGCTGCGCAGGAAGGGCCCGCAGAGGGGGGCAGCTGCCCCGCGGCTCCTCCTCGAGCGGAGACGGCATGCGCACGGCGGCTGCACGCTGGAGCGGTGCGGCACGAGAGGGCGGTCCGGAGCGCCTGGCCTGCAAGCCGCGGCGCGGCGGCGCGAGCAAGGGCACGGGAGGGCCCAGCACTTCTGGCCTGCCCCTGGGGCGGTTGAGCAGGAGGGGGTGCAGAGGGCGACGATGCGGTCGGAGCAGGAAAGGGGCGGGAGCAGCAGCAGGAGCACGAGGAGCGGAAGAGAGAGGGACAGAGAGAGACCATAGAGGTGTCGGGGGCGTCCTGCACCCCCGGCATCGCACGAGGAGCAGCAGGAGCAGGAGGGCCCGAGGGGGGCGGCGGAGGGGCAAGGAGCGGGGCGGAAACGGCGAGCCATGGCTCGGACTCAAAAATGTGCGCCGCGCTGGAGCGAGGACGAAAGTATCCAAAGCGGTGGTCCTCAAAAGTTGCCAACCCTGTAGCTGGAACGCCAATTTTGCCGGACCATCAACGTTCCTGTTAGAGCAACCCTTCGAAACAACGCTTATGTTCTGTTACGTCATTGGGGGTCGCACATTGCGTCAGAAGCCTAAGCGGGGCCACTGCTGAGCGGATTGCGCACAAAAGAGCGATACGCGAAAGAGGGTGCATCACGCTGGCGCAAGATCAAGAGAGCGGGGGGGGGCAGTAGCAAACGTACTCTTGATTGAGAGGTTGTGCAGACGGCGGAGGGATGCGGTGGAACACTTCTGCTCGTCGCGTCGCGGCCGTGGCCCCTGGTATTAGGTCGGGCATGTCCTCCCACAGGTGGATGTTGGACCACATGAAAAATATCCAGACCATATTTAAAGTAGCCAATACATAATTTGACATTAGTCCCCAGACTAATGACTTACTATTTGGGAATCTGCCTCCTGCAGAGGGGCGTGCCCGACTTCAACCCCGGTCGCGTGTCGCTCTGCTTCCACAGCTCGGCACGCTGCTTATGCCTGGGGACTGGGGGGGCGCGCTCGGCGCGCCGCGCCATGGAATGCAGGCCCCAGAACCAGCGGCGGGCGACACGCCGATCAGACGCTCCCGAGCGCATCAGAAATGCTGGCCCATCCTCCTCCTCCTCCTCCTCCTCCTCCTCCTCCTCTTCTCCTCCTCCTCCTCCTCCTCCTCCTCCTCCTCCTCCCATCAGGGGCCCGACCACAAGAAACCTCCCACAGGAAACCGAGCCCTGAGACCCTAGGACGTCCATGGCTTTTTAGCGCGGGAGCGTCGCGCTCTCCACCGCAAGCGCCCTCGAAACCGACGCAACCTGGGGCACCCTGGAGGCGCGCAGGGTGCTTCTTGGCATGGGCCTCCACTGCAGTGTCGAAACAGCATGGTCACGAGAACGCGCATCCAGAAGCGTGGGTCCCCCTCGCCGAGGGCCGAGGGCCCCACGGAGACACCCCAACCGAAGCTCAGTCCAGGGCAGGAGAGCCCCACGGCGGAGAACACGAGGGCACCCCTCCAGAGCTGTGATGCTTTTCGGCACCCTCGTGCCAGCTGCAGAGACGAGGAGCTCTCGGGCGCACGCCAACCTGGACTCAGCGATCCGAGCTCCTCCTCCTCCTCCTCCTCCTCCTCCTCCTCCTCCTCCTCCTGCCCCTCCTCCTCCTCCTCCTCCTCCTCCTCCTCCTCCTCCTCCTCCTCCTCCTCCTCCTCCTCCTCCTCCTCCCCCTGCCCCCCGAAACATGGCGCCGGGGCCGCCCGCACGGCAGGCGGAGCGCGCCGCTCTGGAGGGGCGGCGGGATCCGCAGCTAACCCGCGCGCCCCAGTCCGTGGGTACGCGTCCTCGAAGGCCCTCGGCGGCGAGCCCACGGGGAGGCGTCACAGTTTTTGTTGGCCTTCCCAAGGAGGAGGAGGAGACGGAGACGGAGACGGAGGAGGAGGAGGAGGAGGAGGAGGAGGAGGAGGAGGAGGCTCCGAAGGCCTCCAGCCTTCTCGGGAAGCTGTCCGAGCCTGCCCCGAAGACGCACCGCAGTGCTCAGAGGCGGGAGGGCCTCTCAGAGGCCCCGCCGCCTGCGGAGAAGACCTGCTGCGCCTCTGACGTCCCCCCCGACGTGCCGCCGAACAAAAAAAGGTGTGCTGGATCTGGGGATGCCGAATGGTACCGATACCGCTCTTCCCTGGACATCTGCCGGGGTGCGTTCTGGCCATGATTTCGGGCGAATCCAGCGGTGGCGACGAGGGCCTCTCAGGAGGCCCAACAAGGGAAAACGAGCGAATGGCAGCGGTTTCGGTTCCTTTTCCTCCTCTTTCGGGGGCAACTAACTCATGGAGCCTCCCATACCATCTACTCAGTTCTTGCGAATCGACGCTAATTCGACCCTAATCGCCGTAGCAGACGCTACATCGGCGCTATCTCATCGACTCCCAGACGCTACTCGACGCTAACCGACGCGAAAGACAGAATTCAGAGGGTATACCAGGCTCCCATGATTTGCTACCCGATCCTCTGAGTATCGGTGGATGGTGGTTCCTTTTCTAGCAGTATCGGTTCCTTTTCCCCTCCAGCTCCACCTGCCATAACTTCCGACCTCCGCGGAAGGTGCGGAAGCTGTCATCGACACTCCTGGAAGCCCTACGCAGTTCAAGGAAACCCAGATAGACCACATCAAGAAAGGGCCGGAAGGTTAGGGCGGAAGGTCCGGAAGAGTGAGCTGGAGGGTTGCAGGGAGGCCAGTCCCTAGCGAACCCTGGGCTTTCTGACGCTATCGGTTCCTTCCCTGGGCGCCCGACTTCTCCGGGGCAGCTCGGGCCCGGGGCAACTCGGGTTCGGAGTCTTTAAACGAACCCGGGTTAGCCCTGACCCGAGTTACCCCTGATGATCCGGGGCCCTGGGCGCCCGACTTCTCCGGGGCAGCTCGGGCCCGGGGCAACTCGGGTTCGGAGTCCCGAAGCACGAACCCGGGTTAGCCCTGACCCGAGTTACCCCTGATGATCCGGGGCTCTGATCCTTCTCCTCCTCGGAGGATCGGCGGACATACGCGGCGCGGGCGAGATGTCCCCCCCGACCTTGGCGGGCCCCGCGCCCAGGTGCACGGAGAAGGTCGCCCGCAGGTCGCCCTCGACCGCCACCGCGGACTTCCCGAGCCGCATCGGCAGTACCACGCGGCACCCGTCCTCGGCGAGGAGAAGAGGATGAAGAGGAAGAAGAAGAACACTAAGCATAACAAAAACGCCAGAACGCCAGAAACATAAACTTCAAGCGTTCCACGCAGATTCCCTGGATCATCGCTGGACCCCCCTCCCTGGCGCGCGGAGCGCGCCAGGGGGGCGGCAGGGCGCTCCAAGGAATCCGCGCGGATCACCACAGAATGCAAGTTTCCGGTCTTCCAGCAAGGCGAGCAGGGTGCAACCAGGACGAAGAAGAAATTCAGGCGTCTTGCGGATCTTCGGGCGCATCCGGCGATTCCCAGATCCTGTGGAGAGCCAGCGCTGCCAGAGTTGTCAAAATGGCCTTCGGCTCCCAGCAGTATTCACCGACAGCCCCCAAGACATTGGAGGTTCTCGAGAGCCTCGCGGCATCTCTAGCCGCACAGCCCGCTTCAGACAGCGGCTGAAGAGAACGGGATGCGAGAACGGCAGCTCTGCAAGATGTATCGGGCGCCGCGGCCTTCTCAGAGCGCTCTGGAACGCTCTGAGAGCGTTCTGGAACGCTCTGGAACGGATTTGTCCTCGTCCTAGCCCCGTTCGGACGAGGGCAGGATACAGTCGGGACTGGCTTCAGAGGGCGCAAGGCCATAGCTTATGTGAAAAGAACGTTGCTTGAACAGTGCTCCACTTGTTAGCTTTCGGCAAACAGAAACGGGACAGACACTGTACCCCAAAATACTCAAACGACTACATGACAAAAACGAACCGAACCGAACCCGGCGCGACCGAGAACCCCACGGGGAAGAATGCCCCCAGCGATTTTCACATCACCGAGGCACGGCGCTACGGTCGGGAACTTCTGCTCAGCGTGTCGCGGCAGCGGCCCTGACGACACGCCATGCCCCGCGAGCGGATAACGTGTCGCTGCGCTCCGCGAGGCCGGAGGCGGAGGAAGGCTTTGGACGTTAGGGCTGGGGAGTGGTTAGCGTGTCGCGCCGAAGCGTAGTGGGCCAGAACCGGCGGCGCGACTCGCGAAGCCAAAGTGCCCGGCCGCACGTCGAGGGTGGCGCATGCTCCAGACATGCCGAGGACATGCCACGCCGCAGACATGACACAGGGAGGGGCACACAGGACGCTGCAAGGTTGATTTGTGAACCAGGCCCGACTGCAGGGACAGAGCCCAGCCAAACGCACACACGCACACTCACACACACACACACACACGCACACACACACACACGCACACACACACACGAACCCCCCCCAGACACACACACACACGAACCCACCACACACACACACACGCACACACACACACACACACGCACGCACGCACGCACGCACGCACACACACACAGACACACAGACACACAGACACACAGACACACACACACACACACACACACACACACACACACACACACACACACACACACACACACGCCGGCAGGCCACCGAGAGCTGGCGGCCCCGGAGGAGGCACACCTGCTCTGTCCTGGCGTGAGGGGGCGCCGGTCCTGGAGGCAAAGGGCCTGCGGAGCTTCCCCCCCCCACTTGGGGCAAGACTCGTGTCCATGTCCACTGCAGCCTGGAGTTTCGGGCTCCCTGCCCAAGGAATCCAGGGCGCGCTGGGCATGGAGGAAGCTCTGACCCCTCGAGGCTCGACTCTTCCTCACCCATATCCAATGCGCCTCGGCCTCGTGGCGCCCCGGCCCAGAAAGCCCACGACACACCAGGTGTGGATATCAGAGAGAGGGGGCCGAAAGGTCATTCATTGTCCCGAGGTGCGTGGCTGCAATGGCGTTCCGTGGTGGAGATTATTGTTGCGTTGATGTTGATTGTTGTTTGTTATTGTTGTTGTTGTTGTTGTTGTTGTTGTTGTTGTTGTTGTTGTTGTTGCTGTTGTTCTTGTTTTTGTTGTTGCCGTCGTCCCACTCGCGACCCGTCCAGCGACCCACCAACGACATACCTGCGACCCACCCGCGACCCACCCGCGACATACCCGCGATCCTCCCGCGACCCACTCCACGACCCACCCCGCGACCCACCCCGCGACCCACCCCGCGACCCACCCGCGATCCCACCCGCGACCCACCCGCGACCTACCCCGCGACCCACCCGCGACCAACCCGCGACCCACCCGGTGCCCGCCCCCTCGCTATTCTCCGCAACTGCGTGGTGCTACATCAATCTTGCCCGTGCCCAGTGCAAGGTGACCGCCCTCGGCGGTTCTCCGACGTCCCTGGGGCTCCCTGGTGCAGGCCCCCCCAGGAGCCCGAGGGCGATCCCGAAACACCTCCAGGACCCCTCCCCTAACCAGCCTCGAACGTATCTCTCCTCCTAAGATCAGCAGGCCCGAGGAGGTGCTAATCTCAGAAAAAGGTGCCCTCAGAAACTGCGGGGCATCCTCGAGATCGGCACCGAGGTAAGGTGATGCCTAGCATCTGGACAGAGATAAGCTTCGAGCTGATCATCTCCTCCAGTCGGCGGCGCGCCCGTGGGGGGGTTGGGCGTGAGCTGGGGCGGCCCTCGCCGGGAGGCTCGGAAGGCCTCCGACCCTCTGAGGAGTCTGCTGAGGCTCGGCCGAAGACACAGGGAGCCTGTTACAAGGCGCCCCAATCCGTGCTTACGCGTCCTCGAAGACCCTCGGAGGCGAGCCCATGGGGAGGAGTCACAGTGTGAGGCCTTCCCAAGGAGGAGGGGGAGGAGGAGGAGGAGGAGGAGGAGGAGGAAGAGGAGGAGGAGGAGGAGGAGGAGGAGGAGGAGGCTCCGAAGGCCTCCAGCTTTCTCGGGAAGCTGTCTGAGCCTGCCCCGAAGACGCACCGCAATGCTCAGAGGCGGGAGGGCCTCTCAGAAGCCCCGCCGCCTCCCGAGAAGGCCTGCTCCCAGATATGCGACGTCGGGATGTTCTCAATGCGCGATTCCCCGAAGGCTCGCCCCTTTCCCTGGTGCCCTTTTTTGTAGTCCGAACTCTTTCTGTTGACGGTCCCGAGACCTGGTAAGGACCCCACATGGCTGCAAACAGCCAGAAACCTCCCGGCGTGATTTTGTTCACGACCCGAGGGGGTCTGGATTCTGAGGAGGCCTGCTCCTTCTCCCAGCCAGAAAAAAGTGCATACTACGCCCGCAAGCCTTGGGAGATAGGCGAGGGTCCTGGTCGTGGTCTTGGTATACAAAATTCCCTCTCTGGGGCGTGGTTTTTGTATCCTGAACTTGGCCCCGTGGGGTGGAATCTGACTGGGGTGGGGAGGGTGTGGTATACAACAAACATTTCGAGGACTCATGCTTCTCGGGGATCTACTGACCCGGGTCAATCCAGACCCGGACAAGTCGGGCTTCGCAGGACCCTGCAAGATCCTGCAGGATCCCGCAGGATCCTGCATCCAAGCCCGCATCAGTGCACCCCTGGCCCTGCAAGATCCTGCAAGATCCGGTGCTCTGGCTGACCCCGTTTGTATTTCGGGGGCGCGCAAACGCGATTTATGGATTTGGCGCGCGGTCGCCAAATCCATGGATCGGGGAAAGAGCTCTCCCCAAAATGCTGCCGTTGCCGCCTCGCCTGGCGGCGGAAATCCGCGGTCTCCCATGGAAGCGGGGACCGTCGCCAATCCACGCCCCCTTGTTCCAGGCTTGCGATCGCCCGACGTTCCCAGACATGCGACGTCCTGGCTTTTTCAGGGCGGCGTCCCTGGAAGTCCCGACCCTTTTTTCCCCGGGACCAATGTTTCGCCCTGCGCCGTCTTTGGACGGTCTCGAGGCCCGGCGAGGGCCCCCCCGGGGGCAAGGAGGAGGAG